ACTAATATACCTACTTTTTTGAAATATGTTCACAAATTCTTTGACTTTCTTCATTACAAAAGGTATAGCCTAGGTCCTCTCTCCCTTGAATGTGGGCTGACAAGGGCTGAATGAACTCAGTGATTTCGTCTAGTGAATAGAATATAGTGGAAATTACAGTATGTGGCAAGGCCATAAAATAGCACTGTGTCTTCCTTCAGGTGTTCTCTATTAGATCACTTTCTTGATGGGAAGTGAACTTCCATGTCCTGAGGACACTTAAGCAACCCTATAAAGAAGTCCAAATAAGGGGAACTGAAGCCTTCAGCTAATAGCCACATGAGCCATCTTGGAAGTGGACTCTTCAGTGCCTGTTGAGCGTCCAGAATTCTGAAGCCCTAGCAGACATCTTGACAGCAACTTCATGAGCAATTCTGAGACAGACCTACCACCTAAGCTGCTCACAGATTTTTGGCCCATAGAAATTGTGTGATACAATACATATTATTTCAAGCAACTATGTTTTAAGATAATTTTGGAGCAATATTCAACAGATGCACCTACTATCTTGAAAACATTGCCCTAGGCCCTCTATTTGTGGATTTAGGGTTGTGAATGGTTCCTGGGCGAGATAGAGAGTAAGTAAGAAAAAGTTTCATTACATTGTTTTATTTGCTTAAAGATATGGGTGAGTGGCTGACATCCAGAAAGCCTGGATCAAAACTGAAATGCCCTTGTTGATCTGGGCAGGAAGTCAAGGCAACCTAACTGAGGGTTCAGTGAGGGCAAGGACAGAATAGTGGACCTTGGAAGAAAAAGCAAACCCTTCATCAGTACAATGGAGAATAATTTGCTGTGTTAAAAGGAAGGTCAGACTCTGTGTACACTTGAAACAGGTGTTCAATACATATGCATTGATTGATGTTGGTTGATTTATTTTGAATGCCAGATTGTGAGTCATCAGTGTTACAGTGTAGCTTAAATAAATGTGAGCTATGCCTGGAAAATAGCAATACAACAATGAGAACCAAAAAGCACAATTCAGCCTCTCACTGTGCAGCCTTATTTGTCCCATCTGCCACAAAACTCTGATTACTGAGAGGGAGGGCCTTCCCAGTTGGTTGATAAATAATTCTTTAGGGGAGAAATAAAGGGAATCTTCAATGGGAAAGACTTTGGCAGTGAGGCCTCACCGGTTTCTTTCAGTGAAGACCTGGATTGATCTCTTACGAGTAGACTAGTGGTGTCATTTGGAAAGATGTTGAGATGTTCTCCACAGAAGGTCTTTGGTAAAAGAGAACAGGGTGGGAGACGGTGATGGCAGGTTGAAAGTGGAAGAAAAATGTGATATAGTAGTTGGCCATAATTATATACCAAAATGTGACTTAATTTTGTTTCTATTACTTTCTTGATGAAAACCTCACCATCTGTAGGATACAGGGAAACAAATACAACTGCAGATGATTTCCTTGGTCATGTTAGGTTACTTCCTTTCTGTTTTGGAAATCAGGACCTATGTGCAGTATTGAAGTTCATGTTATCATTAGGGTGCTCTTATGTTTTGGTTTCCCTAGGGAGCAATCTCTGTACATCTTGTCTCAGTGTTACTATTATAGTATTATCTTTACTCAGAAGGATCCTGATTTTGACAATGAGTTATACTGCTAGTTAGTGGTGAAATCTTGGTAATGGAGTAGAGCGATTAAAAATGTGAACTGTAGCACAAAATTCCTAGGGGAAAAATTCGAGCTCAGCCACTTTTTAGTCATGTGACCTTGAATAATTTATTTAATATCTCTCTACTGTGGTTACTGTGATACAGGACTAATAACATCTATTAAGGTGGTTGGGGTAAGAATTAAATGAGTTATTATGCATAAAGCCCTTCAAAGAGTACCTAACATATGAAAGCTCAATACAAGCTTTACACATACTTTTTAATTTTCTTGTAATGAAGGTGTCATGATGCCCCTTTGCAAATGAGTACACTGAAGTATCAAAAGGTTTAGAAACTTTTCATAGGCAAAACAGCTAAGGGGTAGTAGGTACAGTATTTGTTCTTGGCTTTGACCTCAAATGTTCCATTATTCCACAAAGTAGTTTAGCCTCAATGCCTCTTTATGTCCTTTCTTCATTTTCTAGAATGAGCCAGTATGAGGAGCCATGTGTTCAATCTTCCTCTAATTTAATTCTATATTAATTTCTAGTTAAAATCTCTCAGAGCAGATATTTCTTTGGGGGGCTGGGAGTGGAGGGGAGCAGATGATAGTATGCCATTCTTAACATGAGATGGTGTCTTGCACTCATCTTGCTTAATTCGTCTCTTCATAGGGTTCACAGAGTATAGGACCAGGCCAGCTGTGTACTCATTAAGCTACTAGTTTGCCCTAAATCATGACTTGTTAGCACAACTCCCAGATAAGTAGAGAGTCTAGAATCATTCTTGCAGTGGAACCTGGAAAAATGTCTATGGGGATCCATGGAAGCAGATCACAGAGCCTCTGCAACATGAGAACAGAAGAAGGATGTTCTCGCTTCACTCAAGAGAGAACAAACAGCACAAACAGCCAACAGATCCTGGCTGCACAGACCAGTTGGTTAAAGCATTTACCTGTGTTCCTAACAGTCGAAAGCCAACCTGCATGAATTATCCATCAATGTCCAGGCCACTCCCTTCCCTGTTAGTCCTTTACAGTGTAGACACCTCTTCCCCAGCTCTTAGATGAAACTCTGGCCAATGGATGGGGATTTGGTACCACAAAAATATAGTATTTCTCCATATTTTAATAAAAATTAACTCTGTTTTGTAAAAAATACAATTTCAATGCTTGCATTCTTTAGTTTATAGGCTTAAGATTTACAGATGTATCACCGCTACACCATCTTGGGAGACAGCCTTATTGCAATTTTTGCAACTCCACTTCTTCCTGGCTTTGTTTTCTGTCTGTGAAGCTTAATTCCTCAAGTTGAACTTTTTAAAAAGATATAAAACTCTTGCTTAAACTCTATATCCCATCTGTCAAATGAGAATAACAACATATATTAGGGTTATTGTGAGGATAAGAAATAATTTATATAATGTGCCTGTTCTATAGGGCCTGAGACACCATGTGCCCGACTGCTAGTACTACCACTATGTTCACGCCTAATGATGGTAATAGTAAATATACTAACAGGCAGACTTGTTCTAATAGCATGGTCGCTTTAATTTGTCGGGCTGCTATATTCTATTACATCAGTATGTGCCTAGGACACATAATGCTTTTTCCACAATGGTAGGTCCCTTCCTTCATGCAAAGAGAGCTTACCTTGTTCTTCCCTGAAAATGTGTGTTTCTCTTACATAGACAAACATGGAGAGAACATTTTACTTTTTAAAAGAGCACATTTCCATATTTACCAAGGAAGTGAAAGCTTTTCAAGAAAATTCCTGTGAAAACTCTAAGATTAATAAAAGAATAACTGTTGAGGAAAAATAAAACATTTAACCTTTTTTCCTATAGAAGCCAGACTCTACTTCTCACAAAACCCTCTGCAACCTCCAATTTTATTCAAGAGCTACAGAAACTAGCAATCCCTAAGGCTCCAAGATTTAATTTCCATTGCATAGGATGCCCCTCACATCAGAATTAATCAGGTTTCATTTCCACTGTCCCATTTCCCTTTAGGAATCCTGTGGTGTAAACCTCCAAGGTAAACACAAATATTCATCTAGTCAACCTGTTTTGAAGAGTTAAACATTCAGGGACATAAATCATTGGCAGTGATGGGTGCACGCTGATTTGGGCGCAATTCATCCCCTCTGTCTAAATGTACAGAGTCGGCTGCAGCTTCTGTGCTCACAAGAGCCAGGGCTTCAGTCCAGAATATCAGGCCAAATGATCAGACATTTATGGTGTTTGCTGCCTGTACACAGATGGAACACATGTTGATTTTGTTTCTTTTTTTAAGAGGAAAACAATCAGATGTATGAATTGGCTTTTAGCCTCTCAATTTGCTGTTGGTCGCTTCCATAGCATCATCTAGGTATTGTTTTGCTACTTCTACTAACCTTCATTTGTTGATATCCTAGAGTTATAAGAAAATCATTTCTGAGGCTGTAATTTCCTGTTAACAATGTGAACATTTGTGGGCCTATGCTCTTTGTTTATCTCTTTGTTTGTAGAAGTTTCTGGTATCCTCAAAAGCAAAGTAAATGTCAGCCCCAGCTCCAGGATTGTGCCGTGTTTACAGAATTGGGTACTTGCTTGCGGAAGGATGGGCCTGGTGTTGCATTTCCACAGTGGCTCAGATTCCGTCTTACGTGTGTGTGTTTATTTCCTATACTTGCTGTGGTACACTTCACGGATAAAGGATGGGGCTTCCCAGAGTGACTTTTGTACCAATAAAGGGCTTAACGGTCTGCTTATCCTTTCTCTGTTTTTTGCTATTTCAACCCTTAGCAAATTCTTGCAGTTGTTCCAGTTCAAAAAGTAGACAAAGGATAGGGCAGTTCTCATTTTCAAATCCCTCTTTCAGGAGAGATTGGAGGAAAGCAGAGAGGATAAAATGTGGCTTTAGAACCTTTCCTTCCCCAAGATAATTAGCTTTCTCTTCAAATTCATTGGTCTCTGGGGGATTTGTTCTACCTTTAAGTTGGCTCCAGACTGAATGCAGGTATTACAGGCAGAGAATCTCAAAGGAGTTTGAGATGTGCCTTCAGAGCATAATAAATATCTTACTTAGAGTGTGTTTACTTAGCCCTAAAGGATTCAGCAAGTTTTTGAAGTGGTTGTACAAATAATATATTCCTTATAGATATTTTTTAAGTTCATTTTGGATGTACAATTTAGGAATAATAGTGTAGTTGTTTGTTCTTTTATTCTCGAATGTTAGCAAACCCAGGGAAGAAAATATCATATGTGGTTCATTGCTGGAGACTAGCTTAAGGAAGAACCTAAGTCAGCTACAGAAGTTAATTCTAACTTTGGGAGTGTCAGATAACAGGACTCCAACATGCACTGATGATGTTGGTTTTTCTAGGTGTTGCTGTTCCTGCAGAAATCCTAGAGACAGTGCTCTGCCCCAGCAAACAGACTTCTGCAGAACGAGCTGCTGTACCTAAGAACCAACCCTTCTCAAGTAGGTGTGTCTAACTAAAATGAAACCACTGAGGAAACTGCCTTGATACTGAACTTCCCTAAACCAGGTAGGTGTGTTTTTTGTCCTTCTACAGTAATTGTATTAACCTCACCAAAATGTCTCTGAAGATACGGCCTTGAAATTGTTTGTATCCCTGCTTGTCTCCAACTGAACTATAAGCTCTCTAAAGATTTTAGTCACTGGTTAATACCTGGACCATGACATTCCAATGTCTGAGTGGGAGTAAGTATTTGAAATATCAACGTATTGATTAACAGGACTTCTTGTGCTAAAGCAAAATCTGACTCTTAAATACAGCTGACATTTTTCTAAATTGTTAAAGCGATCAACAGTAATAGCATTCAGTTATTTATTATGTGTCTGACGCTGTGCTAAGTACTTTTCATACCATCTCTTTAAATAGTTACAACTGGTTAAAATAATGAGGCCTTGGCATCAGAGAAACCTGGCTTTAAACCTGCGGTCTGCCTCTTGTTAGCTCCTTGCAATTAGTAGATCTATGTGAGGTACCAACCTTAATTTGCAAATAGGGCTAATAATAACTTTATGAAAGAATGCTGTGAGTAACATTCATCTTCGCCTAGCATGTTGCTTGCGCCCTTTGTTATCTCTGGGTTTAAGATCATTATATTCTTGGTGTCAATGAATACTAGAAAATACTTCATCCATTTGGAACAGAAAAGGAATCTTTTATTTTGTTCCATTAGTATCTTATTCTTATGTTTATCTAAATATCCACCTATTCATTCTAACAATGGTATGATTTTGCCGCTTTTAATCAGTTTGAATCTGCTATATACAACCTCAGTTTCATAATACTGTTAACTAATTACCCTTGAACAGAATTCCTTCTGATTGTCATTGGTTGTTCACTCTACAGGGGATTCTTTGCCAGTTTTCTGATACGTCCTTGTTTCAGCATGCTGTGGGTTTAGATGGAATGTTGTGGCGAGAGGTCCTGAAATTATGTGTACCTAACTTTGACTGTCCTAAAAAAAATGAGAAGAAATGAACTGTGATAACAGAGACAAAAGGTAGTATAGGTGTATAACCATCAGAAGAATGACAGGAATAAACAACCGGGGGCTGTCATACAATTAACGCAGCCACACAGAACCGGTGCATTCGTATGCCTGTGCCAGCCGAGCGTCAGGCTAATGGTCAGTCACCACTGTGACTTTCTCTGGTCTATTTATAAACAGGAAGAATTTATTAACAACTGTGACAAGCCCTGCTCAGACACTCTTCCCAATGGGGCTTTCTGAATATATTTTTATGCCACTTAAAATCTCTTTTGCTAGGAGCCAGGACTTAAGCAGAAACCAGAAAGGACAGAACCACTGTACAAAATATATTGCAACTGTTGTCTTGCCATTAAAAATGTCTTTTTAGTCTCTTATAATATGTGGATTAAACAATACAAACAACCAAAGAATAAATCAACATCGTGTCTCCAAACATTTGGGTCAACACTTCCTCATGAACAAATTTTAGAAATCTATGATCCTTGAGGAAAGTTGGTGCATCAGATGTCTATAAATGGCTGGAGTATGGTATTCAAAAAGTGTGAAGGGTCCCAGATTCTAACCTGCTTGCGAGTTGACAAGGTAGCCTGCCACAGCTTTATAGAAAAGTGTAGAAAATATAAGACTCCTGGGTCAGAGACAAAAGGCTTTGCTACTCAGGTCAGATCAAGCAGCACAAGTTTCATGTTCCCACTGGTTCCTCATGATATCCAGATCCCACAGGGCAACACAAGAAGATACAGATGAATACGGTGCAGGCAATATGTTTCTGTCTCAGCTGAGATACCCCAAACCGGGGAAACCCAGCCTTTTATAATGAGCCACAAAGAAACCTGCTTAAACTTTATCCCAGTATTGTCAGTAAACACATCTACCTTCTGCTCTGGAGGAAGACAGTTGTCTATCTCCCATGCCTGTTCTCTATATAAACATCTCAAAAAGATTGCCCAGTATAAAACTTGTCAGTGCATGTTTGCAAGATGTGCAGAAATGTGAGAAACGCTTGGGGAATTCTCTCTCAACATATAAGAGCCCAAGAATCATCTAGCTGTGAGCTAATACTGAAAAGAAGATTTGAGCTTTTCCCTATCAAATCAGATCACTTAGCATCCTCTCTTTCTCTCTCACTCTTTTAATGTACTTAGGAATTTTTTTTCTGGAAAGAATCAGTACCAATGGCCCTTCTGACGGAAAGTGAATCTCTGCGATGCCAATTAACATTGCATTGCTGAGAGTCGTCAATTCTTTATTTGTTTCTCCAGCCAAGTTTCTGCATTTGAGCTTTAAAGGTTTTGTTTTCATGGTCTATAGCACGGGGGAAAATGACAAAACCAACTAAATCCTCTACAAGCACCAGAAAAACAAAAGCAAAAGCTTGTTGCTGAACCAATTTTATCTCCTTTTTTTTGTTTTCCATGACCTGCTTATTTATAGCTATTGTAGAAATCTGTAAAAGACAGACCAAGAAGGCTAATGGTGGTACAAAAGCTGGAATGACACTAATGGGTTAAAAAGAGAACTGAATTGTGTCAATGCAAAATGCATTTTGAAAGAACTTCAGAGAATCAAGAAAAGGTCAGAATATGGTATTTCTGAGACCAGAAGTGAGCCATTGATGTGTCTTTATTACATTTCTGTTTGTGAAGCATTTCTCAGTACTTCTTAATTATTTGGTTTTCATTTAGAAACTTGGTTTTATTATTTCAGCAAACTTTATATCACACTGCTGTTTCAAATGAGAAATATATTAATCTTAAACGTAGGCTTTGGCACAAGAGCTCATTATATTTGAGCCATGTCAAATGTTAAGTTAAAAGAGGAGAAACAATCTTGATGTGACCAGGTTAATTTAATTAACCAGTTTCTTTCTGGAATTTGAAAATCCCTATGAAAGCATATAACATTCTATTTGTATAAACAGGAATCTTTTGCAAAAGTTATTTGAAATATTTTAAAAGAAATCATTGTAATGTCAATGTATTGGGAGCCATTTTGATACATATTGGCTGAGCATGGTGGTTCACACCTATAATCCTAGCACTTTGGGAGGCTGAGGTGGGTGGATCACCTGAGGTTGGGAGTTCGAGACCAGCCTGGCCAACATGGAGAAACCCCGTATCTACTAAAAAAATACAAAATTAGCTGGACGTGGTGGTGATGCCTATAATCCCAGCTACTTGGGAGTCTGAGGCAGGAAAATTTCTTGAACCCAGGAGGTGGAGGTTGCAGTGAGTTGGTATTGTGCCATTGCACTCCAGTCTGGGCAACAAAGCAAACCTCATCTCAAAAAAAAAAAAAAATACATATTGAGAAATGAAGAAAATATAGTTAGTAAAGACCTTACATAATGTTCTGGAATGAAAAGATCATCTATGGGTAATGCATTGGCAATTCTGAGGTACATCCCAGATAATTTCTCACCTAGTATTGTTAAATTAAATTTGGCCTAAAGCTCCCTCCTTGCAAGTTCAGTCTAAAGGTTTATCCTTTCATAAAGAACTGTAACCTGTATGTGTAAACAGACTGTAACTTACTCTTATAACAAAAAGCTGAGCCTCAGCCTGTCACAGAGGCCATACTGAAACCACTCACAGCCAGCCAGTTGTTCAAACCATGTTCAAATAAGGCAAACATGAGTTTAACCAATCCAGCTGTTTCTGTGCCACACTTTCCTTTTTCAGTCCATAAATCCTCTCCATCAATGGCAATGCTGGAGTCTCTGAAACTCTTCATTCAAGAATCGTTCTTTGCTCAATGAAACTCTGTTAACTTTGTCTACAGTTTTTCTTTTATCAATATGAATAAAAGATTTTAATTATTAACCGATTTATCCATCCAAAGTCAGCTGTTACACTGTTTTGCTTTTTGAGGCAGGGTTTCATTCTGTTGCGCAGGCTGAAGTGCAGTAGCATGATCGTGACTCATTGCAACTTTGACCTCCTGGGCTCAAGCAATCCTCCCACCTCAGCCTCTAAAGTAGTGGGGACTACAGGTGCATGCCACCATGTCCTGCTAATTATTTTATTTTTTCTAGAGACAGGGTTTTGCTATGTTACCCAGGCTGGTCTCAAACTCCTAGACTTGAGTGAGTGATCCACCTGCCTTGGCTCCCTGAAGTGCTATGATTACAGGTGTAAGCCACTGCACCTGGCCTCAAAGTGAGCTCTCTAAGCTTGTTTTCATGTAGCTATTACATAAATAATACTGTGTTTTCATATACATAGAGGGCACTGACAGTCTCATCCGTTTTTATATCTAATGTTAAAGTTAAATGCATTTTATTTCTTATTTTGTTTTTTCCTCAACTCTTTCTACTTTTCATATTGCTTTAAAGCAAAAGAAAAAGATAAAACCTTTAAATTTTTTTCTTATTTTCCAGTTATATGACATGCAGATAACACCTTGACTGTTAAAAATATTTTTACATCCTATAATTTAGGATGCATGTTTTCTCTATGTAAAGGGCTGCTAAATGACAACCAAAGTACTACAGATTGAATAAACTGCTTTGCAATTTTGTATCAAAGAGTGTTTGTGGTACATCCAAAGGATTTTTAAATTGTGTTTTCAGGGAACAGAACAGAGTTGCTTTCAAATGAAGGTAGCTTTGAAAAGCAGTGTGTAAAACTTGCTGGTCTACTAAAGGAACTAGTTAAGGTCCCTTTGAGGACACTTAAAAAGATTTTAAGGAAAAACAGCAATTAATTATTGAAAACTATATACCTAAAAACTATAGCTTCAAAGGACAAAGAGCTCAGATTAAGGCAGGCAGGTAACAAAGTGATTCCCTTCTGATTAGGAGAAAAACATGGGTGTAGCAGTTCTAATGGCATGTAAAGGGGAAGTAGGATTTTGACAGATTTCTCTTCTTGCCATGGTTTGAAAGGAAAAGAGAGAGAGATGCACATTCCTGAAAACATCAAGTAGACAAAGATTCAGGAAAGGCCATTAAAATTCTTAGAAATAAAAATATTCGTGAATCAAATCCTCTCATTGGAGAGCAAAGACATCAGGGATCTTT